TTATACAAAATCATATAAAGGCAATTTGCGAGTACGAACAAATAGAAAGATCTACTAGTACAAAAATAGGAGATTTTTTAGATACGATAACAAACAATTTAGAATGTTTGAGACAGTTAGGTGAATCGGTAGATAATTGGAATTCTCTTTTGATCTATATTTGTTATAAGAAATTAGATAATTTTTCCCAAAAAGAATGGAAAAAATATAAAAAAAGCTTACCAAACAAAGTCGTAGTTAACAATTTCCTTGACTTTCTTAGAAATAGGACAGAGTTGCTAGAGGACGTAGAGGATGATTTTTCAAAGGATAAAAAATTTAAAAATCGCGATACCCATACTCGAGACTCACGTAGGGAAACTGAGAAAGGGTTATATACTAAAAACCAACAAATAAAAGGAAACTGTATCTTGTGTAAGCAAAGCCATTTATTGTGTTACTGCCCAGATTTGTTATGTTTGAATGTTAAAGATCGATTTCAAAAGGTTAAGAAATTAAATTTGTGTACAAATTGCCTGCGCTCTAATCATACCCCAAATGAATGTAGATTAGGAGGATGCAGAGTTTGCCAAGAAAAACATAACACAGTTCTTCACTGTGATCAAACTTCCAGAGGCATGTTAGCTAAAAATAATCCAAAAGAAGAAATAAACACAAATTTGATTTCGTCAACAGACCCAAAGTCAAATCCTTCAACCTCTTCATCAATTTGTTGTGCAGCAACAGATTCTAATTTAATTAAAACGAATGCGATTTTGTCTACAGCACTTGTACAAATACAAGGCACAAATTGTACTGCTCGTGCTCTACTGGATTGTGGCTCACAGTCTAGTTTCATTTCAAAATATTTTTTTAATATGTTGAATTTTCCTAAAATCAAAACAAATCTGGCAGTATCTGGTTTAAATAAATCTATATCATATTCAAACTACAAATGTAATTTAAAACTAAAATCCGTGTATAGTGATTTCGAATTTGAAATTTCTTGCTTCATAATAGATAATATTACAGGGTATTTACCTGAATCTAAAATAAACAAACAGATATTAAATATTCCAATAAACATTGAATTAGCTGATTCTAATTTTGATAAACCATCAAAAATTGATCTTTTAATCGGCGCGGATAAGTTTTGGGATTTAATAATATGCGAACAAATAAACCTGGGTAAAAATTTGCCAATACTGCAAAACACCAAATTAGGTTGGATAATTGGTGGATCTTTAAGTATTTCAGATAACAACCTTTGCTTTTTGAACAGAAACACAGATATTAACGATTTGTTGTTAAAATTCTGGGAAGTTGAAGAAGCACCACATCCAAAACCTAATCCCAAACCAAATTCAATGGAAGAGGAATTATGCGAAGAACATTTTCAAAAAACAGTAAAGCGTAATGAGAAAGGTCAATTTATTGTGACCGTTCCCCTAAAAGAAAATATCAGTGTTTTGGGCGATTCTAAAACATTGGCTATAAAACGATTTTTACAATTAGAAAAAAGATTACAATTAAATATGAAGTTACGTGAACTTTATTGTAATTTTTTAAAGGAATACGAAGATCTGCAGCATATGTCGTTAGACAAAGATGAAGCTGAAGCTGTTCAATACTTCATGCCTCATCACGGTGTTTTAAGAGAGGAAAGCATCACTACAAAACTTCGTGTTGTGTTTAATGCGTCAGCCCCAACTACTACAGGGTTTTCATTCAATTCATTACAAATGACAGGGCCAACGATCCAGGATGATATTGTAAGCATTTTACTTAGATTTCGAATGCATAGCATAGTAATTTCAAGTGATATAAAAATGATGTACAGATGTGTGCTTGTAAATCCCGATCAAAGATGCTTACAAAAGATCGTATGGAGACAAAGTCCTCAAGAAGAGTTAAAGTCCTTCAAATTAAATACAGTGACATATGGCACTACTGCGGCTTCATTCCTAGCCATACGTAGCCTTTATGAATTAGGCAATGAATGCGAGCAAACCCATCCTGAAATATCGAGAATAATAAAACATGACATGTATGTTGATGATCTTCTAACGGGTACAGATTCTTCGGAAAATGCATCGCATATATGTCAAAATATTTACAAAATTTTAAACGGTGCTGGATTTGAACTCCGAAAATGGAGATCCAATTTTCCTCAAATTCTAGACGTGCCTAATAAGCAAGATATCCTAGAATTTCATCCTGATAAAAATGTGGTGTCCCAAAAAACTCTTGGTTTAATTTGGGTAAGTCATGAAGATACCTTAAAATTTAAAATTCAAGATTTTAGTCTTGATAAATCTATAACAAAAAGAAGAATATTATCTCGAATAGCTTCCATATATGATCCGTTGGGACTATTAAGCCTAATTATAATTACAGCAAAATGCTTTATTCAGAAGCTTTGGTCTATAAAAGTTAGTTGGGATGATCCTATCCCTTCTCACGTAGCAAAGCAGTGGTTTGAGTTTCAGAATAATTTACATTTTCTCAATAATCTCTCAATACCAAGACATGTTATTTGTAACTCTCCACTTCTACTAGAACTTCATGTATTTTCCGATGCATGTGAACAAGTGTACGGTGCTTGCGCGTATTTAAAAACGATTGATAGAAACAACTGTGTCGTTACCAAACTCTTAATAGCAAAGTCTAAAGTTGCTCCATTAAAGAAATTGACAATACCCCGTTTAGAGCTTTTAGGTGCTACCATTTCAGCAAGGTTAGTAAATAAAATTTGTAACTCAATAAATTGTAAAATAAATAATATTTTTTGTTGGTCCGATTCTACAATCGTTTTAGGATGGATCCGATTGCCATCCAATTCATTAAAACCTTTTGTAGACAATCGAGTTTCAGAAATTCAAAAACTAACAAAAGATTGTCAGTGGAGGCATGTTCCAACAAAACATAATCCTGCAGATCTTTTGTCTCGAGGATTAAACCCAAGTATTATAACCGCCTCAGAATTATGGTGGTACGGGCCTACGTGGTTGAGGTTAAACGAAGATAGTTGGCCGGTTTTGAATTTAGAATTTTCGGATTTACCTGAAATTAAAAGGTGCATGGTAAATTTGTCACCAGTTGAGTTTTTTCCGTTTGAACGATTCTCAAATTTAAACAGGATAAAAAGATGCATGGCATATATCTTACGTTTCCTAAAAAAACTGTAAAATTTCAAAAAATCAACGAACTTCGGGTTTTTTAACAGTTGACGAGTTAAACTTCGCCTTTAATAGGCTTATCAAATTGTCACAAGCACAAATGTTTCCAGTAGAGATATATAGGCTAAACCAGAAGAAATCTTTGAATCGTGATAGTAAAATTTTGAGTTTAAATCCATTTTTGGACGAAAACAACTTACTGCGTGTAGGTGGACGTTTACAAAACTCATTTTACTCATTTGACAAAAAACATCCTATCTTACTATTATCCAGTCATCATTTAACAAAATTAATTTTTATCTATGAACATACCAGACTATTACATCCAGGCCCACAATTACTCTCTGCACATATAAAGGAGAAATTTTGGGTTGTACCTACGTAGTAATAACTTAGCCAGACTCATTTATCGCCAGTGCGTAAAATGCGCTAAAATAAACGCGAGGTCTATTCAACCGCTTATGGGTTCTTTACCAACACCCAGAATAACGCCAAATCTACCTTTTACAATATCCGGTGTTGATTACGCTGGGCCGTTTCTGTTAAAGGACCGAAAGGGTAGAGGTGCAAAAACTTATAAATGTTGGATTTGTTTATTCGTATGCTTTAGTTCAAAAGCCGTACATTTAGAAATAGTATCTTCCTTGAGTACTAATGCCTTTATTCAATGCCTACATAGATTTATAGCTAGACGTGGATTCCCCTCTGACTTGTACTCAGACAACGGCACAAATTTTGTTGGTGCTAATAGGGAACTCACTGAATTTTACACCTTTTTATTAGAAAATTCTGAAACTATTTGTGGTTCAGTATCAAACTTAAACATTAAATTTCATTTTATTCCGGTAAATAGTCCAAATTTTGGGGGATTATGGGAAGCAGGTGTGCGCAATGTCAAACATCATTTACGTAGAGTAGTTGGTGAATGTTTATTAACCTATGAAGATTTTTACACATTCTTGGTACAAATCGAATCTGTATTGAATTCCCGTCCCCTATCTCCACTCTGTTCCGAACCTTCAGACCTCTCAGCTTTGACGCCAGCTCATTTTTTAATTGGGAGATCACTCCACGCTATCCCAGAGACCGACCTGAAGGGAATTCTTAATAATCGGCTGAGTTTGTATCAGCACATTAAGAAAATGCAACAACATTTTTGGGATAGATGGAGCAAGGAGTATATCAGTCAATTACAAACTCGCTCTAAATGGAAAACCAAGAATGGTCAAGTCCTGCAAGTAGGACAACTTGTGGTAATAAAAGAAGACATCATGCCTGTATTACAATGGTGTCTTGGTCGTGTTACGGAGCTTAAATTTGGAACCGATGGCATCTCTCGAATTGCAATTGTCAAGACTGCAAAGGGTGTCACTAAAAGAGCCATTTCCAAAATATGTCCACTGCCTGTATTTTCAATTAAAAGTTAAAGACTTTCAAGGCCGGGAGTATGTTAAGTTTGCTTGTTGATGGACGAGCCGACGAGCCGCCACTGTTTCTATGTTACTATAGATATAAGTTTACTGAAATGTTAATTATGAATTAATGTCAATTCAAGATACATATTTGTCACCCATTATATAAAATAAACGGTTTCCTCTGAATTCACTTCTTTAAAAGTAACCAGCGCCCTTCACGCGCAACCAGGTATGTAAAACATAAAATTTTATTACCGTTACATTTCTTTAATATATTTTTCTTTAAAATTTTTGGAGGCCTTTCCAATGCACTTTCTTTATTACTCTCATCCTCGCTGCTACTACAAATTTTTTTTTGCTCGCACTCTTTTTCTGGGTGCTTCCTAATCAAATTCTAAATTTAGGTCACTTGAATTTTCTGCCTGTTTTAATTTTCTTCTCCCCTTTTCCAAATCATCTAAAAAAATTACATTCATTTAAAAAAAAAATGCAAGAACTTTTTGTTCATTCAAAGAATTAAATATACTACATTCACAACATAGTTTTGTTAAGGTTTTAAAGAATACTTTTTATTCATTTAACATAAATATTATAAACATTGTTAAAACCCGTTAATATAAGAGTTAATTTTTCATTGGTAGTAAGTTGTTGGAATGATATAATAAAGCCCACATTATTAAATTAATCATAATAATTTTGTCCTGCACATAGAATATTAACAAATGTAATTTTCTTTAATTAATATATAAAATTTCTGTCACCCATTGACAACAATTTTATAGTTAGAATAAAAAAAATTATAACATTTATAGTATATTTTTATCTTCAACTAAATTATACTTTGTTAATTTTACACAAGCAGCTGTAAATTTTACATATCTAATATTACAACAAATTATAAACTTTTACAGAAGAATATTCTTGTCATAATAAAATGATTTTAAAATAAGACTAACAATATAGTATTAATACTTAAATTGTAGGTACTGATATTAAATCAGAAATGTTATGGGAAATTAATGTACTGTCTACTGTCCACTGTAAACTTGACAAAATAAGTATTACATAAAAACAATATTTTGTTAGTGTTCTACTTCAACGTTTTTGATTCTTGATGTGTAGGGATTTGTCTTATTATTGGAACTAGTTGAAGTAGCCACTTTTGGTTGATATTGTAATGGTTATAAAGAAGATTAAAAATGTTTTCTTAGGTAAGTACCTTAATTAATTAAGAATACATATTTTATAAGTAGCAGGTAATTATCGCTACATTTTTCATTGAATTTACTAAAAAAATTTGATTGTTGATATCCAGTTGGTTATACTGTATTCTCCAATTTTATTATTTTTATATCAGTATTAAACTACGAAAGTATCAAACTAAAAGTACATTTATAGTCAGCCTGATTTTGTTTTAAGCTCAACATAAATACAAATTTAAGGATTTTAAAGCAAAACCATTTATACAGAAAGTTTAATCATAAGCATAAGATTTTTTGACAAATTATAAATGAAAAAGAGAAAAGACATTATGGGGTCTATTCTGTAACAATTCCTATATATTTAACGGCCTTTAAAAATATTGGCGGCCTATAAAAATATGTTCGTATTCGTTAATTTACTTCTGTCATTATTTAAACAGATTTCTTTAAGATAGTCCTCTAATGTATTTTAAAGATCCGTTTAAATAATGACAGAAGTAAAGAAGAAAATATTTTTAAAGGCCGTTAAATATAAAGGAATTGTTACAGAATATACCCCAATATATGGTAGCTGTTTCTAAAATTCCTCTGCTAACTCTATCAATTATTATTGATCAAAAAATGTGGAAAGAATTTTAGAAGTTCGAAAGTTAGGAAAATAGCTTGACCTCACTTTTTAAAGGCAAATGTACAATAATTGTATTATCGACATACATTTAGGCTGGACTTTATTTTTCTTCACTATGTTTATGTTACTTTTATGCTTGTTATTCTGTATAAACAGGTACATTGAAATGTATTTAATTTATCTTTTATGTTAATGTCTATATATTATATTAAAGCTTAAAACAGGCTGACTAAAGGCTTAAGCTTCATACTCACTTAGGCCACAGAAGAAAGTCGTTTTTTATCCTGTGCCTAGGCGAAATTCGCGGATTTTTGACATAATGTGTCAAATCTATATTTAAAAATATTCTGAATTTGACACATTATGTCAAAAATCCGCGAAATTCGCCCTAGTGAGTATGAAGGTGGTATGAAGCTTATATCTTTTAGAGCAACTTACCAGTTTCATAAAAAATTCGCTTAACACCATACAAACTCCAAGACTCATTTACTTCCTCCCCATTTTTAAGCGATTTGTTAGAAGTATTTAATTCCTTGTAGGGCGGCCAATAAACTCTTCTTTTACGTGAATGGTGTCAACCATTTACGATGAATTAATGCTAGGCCACCCCGGCATTCATCGGAAAATTGAATGACTAAGTACATGACTAAAATATAAGAATTTGAATGCTCTAAAATAAATAATAAGAGGAATATATCACCTAATAACACTAAAAATACAACGAAAGGCCCGCAAAACTTTGTCGTCCACCTTCCAAACTGAGTCAAGAAACGAGACGCTGGCACTGAGCACTAATGGCGGCACTACTATGTAACGATTCACGATTATAAAGCGAAGGCGGGAGGCGGGAAAGATAGCGTGGGTTTTTTGTTGAACACTACCGAATCGGCGCAAGTCCGAATCAAAAGTAAACCATAACCCAACTTTTTCTTCTCTTCTATTCTTTGCTTCCTCTTAGTTAGCTGGCACCCAATTGGCGATCAGCAAACTTAATAAAAAAATATACTATTTTCTCTTAAAGGGTGACAAAAAACTGTTTTTTATCACTCCGGAAAAATAAAATCACCAAGTTTGTTAACACTTTTATTCGAGTTAAAAATTATGACCATACTGTGACGTATATATGACGTAAAATAATGACGTGATACTGACGTTACATTTATGAAACGTCATTTTTAGGTGATGTGACGTCAGGGACTAATTATCACCAAAAAATGACGTCTCTGTAACGTCAGTGTGCTGCCTGGGTAGTTTGTCCCTTTTATATAAACTAAAACTTTTTTTCTTGTACTTACTTTACATTTTCTCTTCCCGTTTGTCACACCATGGAAAAGCACATTTCTTTCTACTGTACATTATTTTTCAAATAGAAGTACATAATTAAAAATATGTTTAGTTTTTATCATGTGTGCAAACCCCATTTACTGTGGAAATATTTCTAATGTATTTTCTATTTTTAACAGACTTCAAAAAAGAAGTAGGTTCTCAATTCATCGGAATATATTTTTTTATGGATATTTAGCGACAATTCTTTACTATGTTGTCCGATTTCTGATTATTTTTTGTTAGAAAGGGGGCTCTTCAGAGATGGTTCCATAATATAAATTTGGTAAAGATCTGATGATGGGATTCATGAGAAAATAATCACTCTTCGTTTTTTGTAGTCGTCAGTTTTTTTAAATTAATTTTGTAACTTATACATTTTTCAATGAATCAAAGTAAAAAACTGTTTAAATTGGGAAATTTCTAAAGTTCAGTATCTATTTTTTAGTTAGAAATGGAAAACTGGAGGAGAGATGGTAAAATCTCTGATATGAGAAATAAATTCACATTTGACCTATTCTTGAAAAACATATACAGTTCCTTTTTGAATCCTTTCAATTTGGATGCTATATTTCTTTGCTAATAAACTAATGCTAGAATTTATTTTTTATTTAAGAACAACTTTCTATTTGTACAATATTGGAATTTCTAGATTGTTGAGAAAATTAAATAATTATGATATGATAATTAGCTTTTATAGGTTGTGTAATAGTCGAAATTTAGAATATTAAATAATTTATACTATGTATAAATTACACTTATTTACCTTAATATATTTGCTTTCACATTTGTAATTTACAGATTTGTAGGTCATAAATAAAACACCAAATTCATTTTAAAATTTTATTTTTTGGGATTAAATTAATATACACAAAATACATAACATAATAAAAAAATATAGTAAATCTACAATAAATAAAAATACATTTAATTTGCCCATCATTATTAAGAATTCTAATTCTAGAAAATAAACATTCAATCCAGGATTTCTTTTTGGTTATGACAGGTTTCAAGTTGACTAGTAATTTTGTGTTAAAATTTACAGTTTGCCTAACGTATTGAATACGTCTACTTTGCCAGTTCCACATATTTTATAAATGTATAAAAAGAAATGGATTATTTCAACATAGGTACAAACAATAAAAATGTTATTACTGATAGTAGTTTACTGCTAAATATTTACTTTTTCTGAAAATAGGCAGGAAAAAACTATAAAATAATATTAAATATGTTTGAGAATGTATTAATACATAACAATTATACGAATTAAAAAGTGTTTAACAATATAAGTAGAGATACCAAGCTCCACAGTTATATGGCTTAAAATTATTTATGCGATCATCTCATGAAATATTTTAAAATACTTAGCAAACACCTATATTACTACAAAGTAATGCCTATTTACAAATAAAAATATATTGCTACCAGGCTATACCACCGTCATAAGCCGAAACCCCCATAACTGACAAATTACAAATATTTGAGGTTATTTGACCATTCTGATACTGATCCATTTTTCTTTTTAAAAAGTAAACAAAATACCAGCAATTTTTATTCTGTATCCTAAAAAGTCAACTTGATTCTACAATGTAACTAACATTTTTCTAGAGAATTCTTATCAAAAATCAACCCAAAACATTAAATCACATTTATATAACTAGTTAAAAACATTATTCAAAACTTGTCTTTAATTCAACAAAAGCAGCTATATTGGTAACACATATCAAAATACTGGCACTAATAAATTTCTTTTATTGCATATATCTCCATTCTATAGTTTGTGTAGTTACTGGGGCAGTATAGATATTTTAAAGTTTTATTTGTGAGCCAAGCCTGTCTTGTTTCAAGATTAGTGGTCCATACAACAATATTTTTAATTTTGTTGTTACAAAGTTTTCCTTTTTTAACTGTACGGTTTTGCTTGAGAGTCTGTGCAGGGGGATCGGCAGAGTCCACTTGGGCCAGGGAAGGGTTTAGTAGATTCCTTGGGAGTGAAGAGACTACTAGGAGAAGCACCTAAGGAGACTCCACTGGAAAGAGTCATAATATCAATTATTGATTTGTTCACCTACAGAATAATAAATAAATATATATGATTCTAGAGCTCATAAAAGTATGTTCCGAAATATAATGATATAACAAAATTTATATAGAGATTCAACGATGATATTTAGCTGCAGTTAACTAGGACTCGTGTAATTATTTATTGCAATGCAAGAACTTAATTAGACCTACAGTTATACTTTAATAAAATGTGTAAAAGTTCCCTTCAATTCCAAATTTGTCTTCATATTACACTAATTT